ACACCCCTTATACTCTTATACCTGCTATACCCTTGTACCTCTTATACCTATGATCAATCTATGATCAACTGTTTGTCTATCTTGTACCCTTATACCCCTTATACCCCTTATACCCTTATACCCCTTATACCCCTTATACCTCTTATACCCTTATACCCTTGTACCCCTTACCTACATGTATACCTATGGTCAATCTATGATCAGCTGTATGTCTATCATATGAGGAATAATCTGCTCTCCAAACATCAGTCCGGTTTCGATGCAGTTCACTGGATGGTTACAGCTCTACTTGAGGCAACTGATAGCTGGGTTATAGACCGTAGATTGTTCAGTGCCGTTGCTTTCTTAGATTTAAAGAAGGCATTTGATACAGTCCTCCATGAGATTCTATTATTCAAGCTTTGTTTATACAGAATTTGTTTTAAATTATCAAACTAATTGTCACAACTTCGCCCAATATACAAGGATATATTTTCTCCAAAAAAGCAGCTAATATAATGTGGTAATGCTGCCTCAAAATCACCTTTACTTTATACTTATGGCCCAAGCCCGGGGAAGGAAAGTGCATTTCAGTGAGGCCAAATTCAAACCCCCCAGATGCCTCTTTCATTTTTATTTGTTTTCATTTGCAGCTTGCTTCTCATGATTTGTACAATGTATTATGTTTTGTTAAAATAGAATTACAAAACTCAAAAACAAAAGCAGCAACATAATTTTTTGTAAAAAAAGCTGCAGCACTTGCATGGATACACCAATTATTGAATTTGTTTGACCATAAATAGTATTCTTTCTCAGTCATGACCTGATCGATTACTTTGCTGAACGCTTTATTTCAAAAATTTGATTGGTATTAGACCATATTAGTGTCATGGAAAATCTCTGCTCCCAGATCCCTCCCCTAAATTTCTACAATTCACACCATCCCCCTCCCCCCTGTCTTCTCCGACCTCCCCAATCCCCCGGATTGACCATGGCATCCTGGGCTACTAAAAAGGTGGCTTGGGCTCCTTAAAAATTTCCTTAGGCAATAGCCTTGTTCTGTAATTTCTGTTGACAGCATAGACAAATAGCCTCGCTGTAACAATGATAGAGTCCCTTGCAATAAACTTCTGCAGCTGGTAAGATGTGGCTTCTCTATCTGAATCACTAACCTCACATCTAAAGCAATCGACATGAAAATTTTTTCCCATTGATACAACTCTAAGGATCTCCTTATTGTCCTATTAATAAAAAAAAGGTTTTGCCTTCAGTCATTATAGAGTGTAAAGATCCAGCATCATTCAGGTCATTTTTATCAATACTCTTTACAATGGAAAACAACTAATACAAGACACCACAGGGAGATGCAAAATTGCTTATATTATCTGGGAGTCCATATTTAGCAGGCTGTCATGGATGTGTGTTTAATTATTAATGAGAAGAGTAATGTGTACAATTAGCTGCAACTTAAGGTCAAACTGAAGAAGCCTACAATGTAACATTCATCCAAATAGTTCAATGTCTTATACCACGATTTACAAGGGTCAAACACCATAGGACAAATGTTGTCAAACATGTCATTTAACCCATACAAAGCTTTCATTTTGTCTCTTGGTATGATTTGGACATAATTCAGACAGCACAGGTTGGAAAGAATTTTCTGTGGAGTCATAAACAGAAGTTAAAATTGTTGTAGGTGTTCTTGCACTCTGCTTTCAGACTGGATATGAGACGGACAACACTCTGTATTATACACACCTGTGGTAATCAGGAATACAATATATTCTGCTCTCCTGATCCTGAGCAAAGGGAATTCCATCTAATTCTGTTTGGCAAACTGAACATCTAAAACAAGATGGGTGGTATGATCTCCCCAGTGCTTGAATAATCTGTGTTGTTACAAAATTTATACTATTAAAAAAATGTTAAAATAATACAAAATGTAAATTTAAACTTAAAACGCCATGACTTTCCAGCCCTTGAAATTATGTTTAACTTATAAAATTCCACGACTTTCTAGGCCTAGAAACTTTCATTATAAAATTCCATGACTTTCCAGCGCTGGAAATTACATTGTAAAATTGCATGACTTTCCAGGTTTTCCAAGACCATACAAACCCTGTGATTGCTCCTGGCTGGGAGGGATAAAAGGCTACTGTATTTGCAGCCTACAGACTCTGGCTGTTTTGATCAAGGATGCTATGTAAATTTTATATTTAAACAAAGTGGCTGTGAGCCACTGAACTTGGAAAATAAATTATGAAAGCGTGTTATAAGGCATTGCTCATCAAGGAACTACTTGATGTGAGGGCAGTCTAGCTTTCGAAAAATTCCATTATGCCTTTTTCCATTCTGGGGTGTGTTGTGATATTTGCAAAACGAAAAAGTTCAATGTTAAGAAACTTTTTGTTACTGAGGCCCACCTACATGTGTTACATTACATGTATCTGTACATGTCTTCCTTGTCCTGTACCGGTATTTGTTTTAAGTGGTGGGTGTAATGAAGTTCAAGTGACGTCCACATTGATCTCCCTTGGTAGAGCAGCCCTTGCCTTTTCAAATGGGAGTCCCCCACCCCCTGGGTTTCCAAATGTCTAATGGGAAGTGATGGAGTGAAGAAGACAGTGATGGAGTGAAATCGTTCCATGACTACAACTTGGAAAATAACAACTATTTTCCAAGTTGAAAAGCTTTACATTGTGAACCATAGCAGGAGGTTTCATAAGCATTTTTGCCATTCATAGAAATATACTGCAAAGTTACACTGTAACACAACAGTTTAACTTAGTAACATGGTGTCCCTGCATTCTAACTTGCCTTTTCCTTGATTATCTTTCCACAAAAATAACAATATTTAGGAGCAAGCTCAAGCTTCTGAAAAATAAAACCAAATGCTAAAAAAATGTATAACATCATCCTGGTTGTAGATTAAGAGTACAGTACACCTTAGGGGTTTTTGCTGGGATAATTTTGGGGTGCAGGGTGTTTTTTGAATGTTTTGTAACATTTTATAATCAGAATTCACTTTAACCACCAGCAGCTGGTTATTTATTTGTTTATTAATTTACTTGTTTGTTTAATACTAAATTATTTAATTTCTGTTCTTATGTTTATTTCTTTCTTTTTCGAGGGGGGAGGGCTAGGACTTATTATCAGAGTTGTGAGGAGGGGAGCCCTGGGGCTTATTGTATTTCAGGACAACACAAAATAAAAACCCCATTTTTTTGTTTTTTTTTACCAGTCATATACTCATTCTCATCCCTAGAGGCCACACTCCTTTCGGTCGGCACCAAGAATTGTGACCTCTGGCTGGGCCTGATTTTCTGAGCATGCTCAGATTTGTCAGATTTGACTGTAAGTCCATGAATCGCAGACCTCCAGTATTGGACCAGCCTAGAGGTTGCGATTCTTGGTGCTGACCAAAAGGAGCATGGCCTCTGGGGACGAGAATGTAATACTAAATTGCTAACAATGGTAGGAAATGAACTGAAATAATGAGATAATAAGAAATAGACCTTATACATGTAATTATTGTGGTCGATACAAACCGTGTAATCCTGTTCACAGTACACCTTTCCATCAATGTTATAAAATGCCTTGCCAATCAGCTGCTTTCCTACCGTACGAAAGTGTGTGTAAATATTGAGGATTACCCTAATTCACAACTTAGAGATACCTTTCAAGCAAAGCAAAGCAAAGCAAAGTAAACATAGACACCTGAATTAAAAGTGCTCATGTAAACATGTACTGACAGCAGATTCTAGAATTTGTAAGGACCGTCTATTGCAACTCTCAATGAACCTCTTGAAAGTAAAATTTTAATTATACTTATTATTAATAATAATGTCAAATACAGTCCAACCTCCAGTTGCAACCACCTCTTGTGGGCAACCACCTCTCCTCAGCGACCAGTATTCCAAAATACCAAAAAATCCCGAGTCAAATCACTATATTTTGAACCTCTTGTAAGCAACTATCTTTTGTAAGCGACTGCAACCACTTTTAGAGCTAAAAGTTTGAAATTTTCTTTTGTTTTTAACCTTTCGTAAGCAACCACTTGACAGATAATAGAGTGTAAATTGGATAATAAGGTGTTGTAACATCGTATTCATGGTAGTACATGAGATGGAAATTTCTCAATGGGAAATACCAGATTTTTTCTCAATATTGACTTTTCACATGAATAAAACATTTAAAACATGGGTAAGTCTCTGCAGTTACAATATGTTAATGAGACAAAGTTGTGATCCAATATGGTCTTAGCTCTCATAAGCGACCACCTCCCGTATGCGCTTACGGGAGGTTTGCCTGTATAATAATATTTTAGTTATGAATAATAAAATATTTATTTCCTTACCACAAGAGCAACAGAGAAAACACTGAACATGGTAGAGATGTTCCATAGCACGACAGGCTGATTCACAGCCATTAATTTGCTTGTTACAGTTGTGACACACACCTGTCAAGAAAAACAGCAAAGATGAACACATTTGAGACATTTCATCTGCTTTTTTTTAATCTCCAGTTGTATGTGTTATCTTAATTATTTGAGCTATGCACTTTATGGGACAGGGGAGGAGGAAGGGAAGGGGGGTTGCTAGACAGTCTTGACTTACTGTACATTAAATAAATATACTTACTACATCAGACTGAAATTTTACAAGTGTCCCTGATACAGACCAAATTGCAGTTCTCTCATATCAGTCACCAAATTTCAAATTTGCATTTTCCACACTTATTTTGCCTGATTTCTGTCATTTTCAGGGGCAAATTTGGGGATGTTTGATGCATTTTGGTAATAATGAATCAACAAGGCTCCACTTTAACACATTTTGTTAGGGTTGAGAAATTAAAATAAAAAATTTAAAAAAATGCTGATTTCTGAGATTTGAATTTCAATTATAACTACACTTATTTTGACCACTGAATTTGTTTCAGAGGTTGTGTTTACACTGTTTACAGTGTACATAGAATTATTATCAAGTATTTAAGAAATAGAAAACATGTACTGTGTTTCAATCGAGTTATAGAAACACAAGTGGAAGTTTGGGAAAACAAGCAATGCTGTGGGAACACGAGATGCAGGTGAGTGTTTCCACAGCTTTTTCGAGTTCTCCCAAACTTCTATAAGTGTTTCTACACCTTGATAGAAACACAGAGAACATGTTTTCTATTTCTTTCAGAAAACACTGCAATGAAAAAAAGAAAACAACTTGTTCAATGTGATCATTAAAATGTAAATTCTCTTTGCACACGCCATCATTATGTCAACAGCTCGTGCTAGTTCTGTGTTTCTATCGAGTTATAGAAACACGATTTTTAACCAATCAGCGTGCATATTTTCTTGGGGCTGTTTTCTAAACCCTGATAACAAAAGTCATACTCCGAATTGAACCTGTGGTGGACTAATGTTGTCCAGGAGCCAAGAGGAGTGCATGTTATAGCATTACGATATTTCCTTTTATACCATATTGCCATAGAAAATATGCCAATCAGAGTACAAAAAAGCTGTTGTATATTCCACAGTATTAGACCCAATCTTCGCAATGTGTACTGTGAGTATGTCACATTCATCGTGTTGGCCACTGTGTTTTCTATGGCATGATGTAAAAACGTTATGTAACACTCTCTCATGGTATATCATGCAATGTCCCACTTGTCACTTGTTTTTTCTTGGTACACACACTTGCGTAAGGCTTGTGTGTATACTGAGAAAGGAGAAGTGACTTGTGGATATTTGATGGTGTACCAAGAGAAAGCACGCATAACTTGTATATATAACTGCATGATGCTTTGGAACTGTACAGATATTGTACACCATTTGTTTGTAGCCTTCATTTTAGCTTTCTCTTGGCCACTTACTCCTCTGGTTGCTTTTAAAATCCTGGGAGAGGGCAACAAGGGGACCGGTGAAATTTCAATAGGCTACACCATCAGAAAACAGTCCTTTTGGATAACCCAGAACATGAGGTGAGATTTAAAACATGGTCTCTCTAGTGGCCAATTCCCTCTATGAGATGCACCTGCAGGGAATAATTTATATGGAAGCTGCATAAAAGTTTCATCATCTTGGGGTGCTTTCCATTATGCCAGAGCGACTGGTCAAAAACCAGAGGGACTAACTGAGGAAAATGGAACAACATTTTCCAATCAAACCAGGCCAACCAAGAGGAATGTCTCTTACCATTTTTCCTTCCTTTCCCAAATTCCCTACATAAGTGAAATCTACTGAAGGGAAGTAGGGCAATGAACCAGTTTGTCAAAATGGATTAGCAAATTTCGGTCTGACTGGTCAAAGTGGACCACCTCCAGAGGTGGTCCCGAATATTTCGGTCGAACCAAACCGAAACGCACCTTTTGATTTGACTTCCGACTGAAATTTCTGGAATTTTTGGCATAATGGGAAGCAGCATTGGACTGGATGTTTATTTTGATGAAACAACTATGGTCCATGATACCCTGCAGACA